TATATATATATATATATATATATATATATATATACACGCACACAGAAAAATTATAATAGCATCGTACACACAAATACACCAAATAAATGGAATCTTTTGAAACACTACATCATATCTATAGAGAAAAAACAAAAAAACAAAAAAAAAAAGAACAAAAAGGGCTCTTTTTCCCTTTTCCCATCGTCTTTCTGTCATTCTATGTAACATTTTTTCTCTGTAGGAAACGTTCTTCTCCCGTTAATTCTGCTCTGCAGTAAATTTACCACTGGTTTCACTACAGGGGGATAAAAGAGAAGCAAGAAAAAGAAAAAAAGAGGAACAACCGAGAATAAAATGCACGAGTAGAAGAATACACACACACATATACATATATATATATATATTATGGTGGTGTTGATGTTGATGGTGCTTCTACTCTTGTTACGGTTGTTGTGGCGACATTCGCAATACCATTGATCAAGAAAAACGAGCGACAGCGATCTGCCGTCCAACGTTCCGATGGATCCAACGCTAATAGCCCTGCCGTCACTTTCTGCAGAACATGTGAATAAGAAGAAGGAGTAGATGATGGAGGCGTTGAACACGATGATTGATGATGTTGTTGGGGTGGAGGTGTTAATATCATCACTGGCTGCTGTGCTGCCTCTACATAACAGTGTCGGGTGTGATCCTCCTCAGACACACACTTTGGGTTCTTACACGGTGGATAGAGTCGACGAGAGTAAAGTAATTCATAAAGAGTCGCACCTAAACTAAAACAATCCGTAGCTCGACTACACGTTTTATCTTGTAATGCTCTAATATCCATATATTCAAAGGTTCCAAATACATTTGTGACTTCATCTGTTGGGTTTGGACCTACAATACGGCAGTTACCGAAATCACTCAAGTAAAACTTCACCGTACTTGCCATGGACATTCCAGTTGTACGTGTCCCTGCAGGGGATAAAGATAATGAAGAAGGGACTCCACTCTCTCGTGTAGGTGTTGAGGTATGATGATGATGATGATTTTGTTGTTGTTGTTGTTGTTGAGAATGATAATGATGATTTTGTAAATGTTCCTTTTGTTGTTGTTGTTGTTGTTGGCGTTGAATTTGATATTGCTGTGAGGGACTATTTTCATACGCGAAGAGTACATTACTTGGTTTAAGATCGAGATGCACAAGCCCAAGTTGATGCATAGCCGCAAGAGCAGAGGAAACACAAAAGGCCACACCTTTCGTAATCCCATCATGTCGTTCAATACTTTCCAAATCCCCATCACATAATTCCGTTACCAGAAATGCCGTCGCATCACATTCTAATGCGTCTTCTACCGATATAGAGAGAAAACGAGGAAGACGTACTTTTTCATATCGTAGACGTTCTTCCATTTCCTCCGCTGTTTCCTTTACTTCTTCCTTCTCTTCGTCCTTTACTACTACTTCTTTTTCTTCTTCTTTTACTTCTTCATCTAGTAGTAACAGATGTGATTTCTTTCTTCCTCTCTTACCAAGACGTTGTTGTTGTTGTTGTTGTCGTTCCTCTTCGGCCTTTGCGAGTCGTGATTTCCATTCCACTGCAGCCACTACATCGGGTGGAAGGACTTCACGAGCCTGGACAAAGAAGGCACTGTGTAGAGGAAGAACATAAGGAACCTCATGTTCACTAAGAAAACGCATAATAGCAATTTCACGTAATACCGAAAAGGCATCATCAATACTCGCACGGGAGTGGAAACTAATTGGACAGGATTTCACAGCCACAAGATCCCCATCTACAGTACGACAACGCCAGACAATACCAAAACTCCCTTCTCCAACATATTCCGCACTTTCAAATGCCTGCCAAAACTCACCAGCTTCTAAACAATGTAACTTTGAGACCACATTTTCTACGGTATTTAAAAAACTTTTTCGAGTAAACTTCTTATTAAATAATGGTCGAAGTTTCTCTACTGGTCGAGTAAACTCCACATCAGAGGCATCATTACCAGCTAGAACAGATGCTGTTGCCGATAATACCCCTTTTCCACCACCACCACCAGCACCAATAATAGTAGTAGTAGCAGCAGTTGTAGTTATTGTAGCTCCTGCTGTAAAGGAATTAAAAGAGGAATCTCCCCAATCGGCGGATGCCTGACGACGTGATGAGAAAAGAAAATCACGTACACTACGCGTTGGACTTCCCACACAAGTATCAAAGGTTGCAAGTGAAGCATCTTCTCGTGGTAAAACAACAGAAGTTAAAGAAAAGGATTGAGAAGCATTATTCATAGAAACATTGTTTACTTTTTCCTTTTCTTTTACGGATTTCTCTTTTTTATTACCAGAGACTCTATCTTTTAATTGATTTATACGATTATTCTCTTCCTCTTCTTCTTCTTCCTCCTTGCTGATAGGACTCCTACAGCTAACACTGCTACTAATAGTACTGTTATCATCATCCTTTATATAAGACATACTTGTATTGTATGGAAGTGTAAAGAAACTTCCCTGTCCAATATCACCTTCCAGACAACTGGATGATGTTACCGTAGAAAGGGGACGCAGTGGTGGTAGTGGCGGTGGTGGAAGAATACCTCCTCTCCTTGTACCCAGATAATTATTCTCCTTTTGTTTTTTCATAATTTTACCATCTTCCTCTTCTTCATCCTCTTCTGTGATATCATCATCATAGATGAGACATCCATTAGGTAATGGACTAAGTGCTCTGGGTGGTGGTTTATTCGCCTGTAGTGGTCCTTTTCGCGCCCGAAAGGTGGGAGGCAATACTTCCGCAATCGGTTCTCGTCGTGTAGGTGGAACTGATTGATGTTGTTGTTGTTGTTGTTTTGATATTGTATTATTAACAGAATGAATGGTATCATTCATTGTAAGAACTGGTAGAACGTCGTGGTTCTCTACGGCTACTACTGGCCGTGCGGGTGATGGTGGGCAGGAGATGAGTTTAATCTCATCATCGTTATCATCATCATCATCTATGCAAATCCACAGAGTGGCGGGGGATACAGCAGGACGTGTGGCCGCGGCCTTACGAATAAGTGTCGTGGATGGCCGCTCCACCGGAGTGAGGGCAATACTACTGTCATTACTAATATCCTCATCATTATGATCCCCATTATTATTATTATTATTATTATTATAGTCACGGTCTCTATTATGATGGCTACTGCTATGATTGTGATTATCATCAGAATCATATAATATGGTTTCACGAATATTATGTGATGAGAAGTGTGAGCGTTGTCCTTCTCCCTTTACACCTACAGATGATAAAATAGAAGTATTGCGGCCACTACTACTTGTTAAGTGTTCAGGACTCGTTGTATTTTCACGCTGTGGTGTTAACATCGGTGAGGCCAATGCCGCCGCCGCAGCACAGACGGCAAAGGGACTCTGTGGATCTCTTCTCACACTCTCTGCGGCTACCGCGGCTGTTGCTGCTGTTGCTGCTGTTGTTGAGAGTGTGGATGGGAGTGGAGATTGGGGTCCATCAACGCCTAAAGCTATACGTCCTAACTGTTCAAGGGTAATTTCCTCATCAATTTCCTCTTCTCGTTTGTAATCGTTATCACTATTATTATTATTATTATTATTATTATCATACTCAGCACGTGTGCGTTTGTGTGGTTTTCCAACAACACCGCGTATGGATGAATTTGTTGTTCTTGTTGTCGACCTAATAGCACTCGTATTAACAACAACCGCAGTCCTAGTAGTTATTCTTCCAGCATGATTCGCATCGGATAACGTTACCGCCAAATTACTATGATTGCCTCTCAATGGCGATTCATCCTTTTTATTATTTTTATTACTATTATTATTATTATTATTCTTTGCCTCTATTGCTATTGAGGCCGCCGCCGCTGCCGCTGCCTTTGGAGGACGTCCTCTACCGCGTCTAACAGTATCACTATTGTTATTATTACTACTATTATGAGTATTGTTGTTGTTGTTCTTGATAGTGCTACTTGTATGATCTTTCTTAGCCGTTCGCTTCTTTGGGGGCATACACCGCAAAGAACAGAAAAAATCACAGTTACAATTCACTTAATCTCTTACCAGAAAACAACACAAGAGTGTGTTGTCTAATTTTCTGATTCTCTTTCTATATATATATATATATATATATATATATCCTTAAAGGTTCTTGTTGATATCCGTTGATGAAATAAATGAACGCAAGAGTGAATGAATGAATAAATGAACGAAACGAAACTAACAATAAATAAATAAATAGTAAAAAGAGCTAAACAGAAGGAAGCACACAGATAGATAGATAAGTACACACACACACACAGAGAAAATAGAAAAAGAAAAGGTGTATGTTGTGCTCGCTATCTTTTCTTTCTTTTTTTTTTTCTTAGATGCTTTGTTTTGCTAGTGTCTTTATCTAAAGCCTAGATGTGTATATATGTGTATGTATATTTGTGAACTCTACAGAGATTTTCTTTTTTTTACCTTTTTTTTTTTCTTTTCTAAAGTATTTCAACAATGTTTCTCTTTCTTTCTCTTTCTCTCTCTCTTTTCTTTCTATTTCACCTGCCTTCTCTGGATATAGGCAAGTGAAATATAAAGCGAAAAAGAAGAAAAAAGAAACAAGTGAATTGACTCCTGCCTTTGTATATCATTATTTATTATTAAGAATAAGAAGAAAGAGAAAGAAAAAAGGATAGAAATGAGAGATGTTGGAGGGAACATAAGAAACAATAATTATGATTTCTTTTTTCTTTTCCTTTTACAAGTCTTAATAATAAATATAAAAAAAAACACTAATTAACACAGATTAAATATATATATATATATATATATTCTAAATCTCAGCATGATGAGCAAAAACTGTCAAAATCCTTTAGCAGCCAAGAGAGTTCGATACGACTTAACTCCACCCGTGCGTTTTCATCTAACGCCTCCACCTCCGCTGTATACTTTATACTCTCTCTACTACCACTATCACTATTATTATTATTATTATTATTATTATTATTATTATTATTATTTCCTTCCTTAGATCGCATGCAATGAGAATAACAATAATAATAATAATAAATCACTTCCAATGGAATTTCAAACACATGCGGGAGTGAAAGTCTCTGCAATGTCCATATGGCCTTTACTTGCAACTCCGCCTCTCTACTCTCACTCTTCAGACTGCCGTGTTGTAATAATAATTTCAACTCATCCGTTACGGAAGTGCCAAATACACCGCGATCGTCTGTGTGGAAAGAGACATTGGGAATAAAAGTACCGTCTTTTTTTTCTTTTTCTTTTTCCTTCTCATCTTTACTTTCTGTAGAGATGAGCGTTGAGGGTTTTTTCCAGCGAGCAAATCGTCTTTCTTCACGATATCGCATAGCCACCGCAGCGTCCTCTGCTTTTGTTAATAATTCTATTAACATAATGGAGTTATTATTATTCTTATTATTATTTTTATTCTTATTCTTATTATTTTTCTTCTTTTGTACATTCTCCGAATATTCTTCTTCTTGTTTTTTTAAAATATCCCCAATGTGATGATCCTCCACATCGGAGTAGCCTCCTGTAAGAGCATTACTGGTAATACAGAGTTCAATAGCATCATGTTGTTTAATAATAATAGAGATATTATTAGTGTCTGTAAAGACAAGATGACCCCAACGTTCTGGGGCAAATGTAATCATCGCTGTTAACTCCGCCGCATCTTCTTTTTCTCCCGCATGTAAAGTAATACCAAGTGAAGCGTACGGTAAACCAATATTCCCATTACTATTATTATTATTATTATTATTATTATTATTTTGTCGAACTAGTGTAAGTGCAGGGAGAAACTCTGTAAAGTTATTCTTGTAACAATTACCAGAGAAATCTATACCAGTCAACCAACAGACATGACGAATCATATTTCGTAATAAAACCTCTCTCCATTGATTATCACTATTATCACTATCACTATTACTATTACTATTATTCTCCCACTGTGTAGATATAGTGTTAGTGTGAAGAGAAGAGAAGAAGCGATCTAACTGTTCCCGCTGTATTTCCTTTGCTAACACAACAGCCTCCATCGCCGCCTCCACACTGTGTCCTCTATTGATAGAAACAAGAAGACGAATATGCATACGATACATTAAATGTTTACGAATATTTTCCCATAATAACTTCATCCTCTTTTCTTCTTCTTTTCTTTCCATAGGGTTCACATCTACATTAGTAGTGGAAACAAGTGAACCATACAAGTTTTTAAAGTAATCCCACCATCCTGTTGGTAAAGGTCTCCCAATAGGCACAAGTTCACCGGTTTCAAAGTCCACAACTCCACCTTTGATGAGATGTTCCACTGTATAAATAATCGTCTCCAAATACATTTTCTTTGAAATACTCTCTGATGTTATTTTCTCTTCAGCAGCTCGTAGAGTTTTGTAAAGTCCATCCCGTAAAGAAGTACGTATTTCTAATATAAACACATTCTCAGCTGCGGAATAAAAAAGTAAATCCTGCACAGCCATACGTGTAAAGGCAAGATTGGTCATGATTTTATAAATATTATCAAATACAGTAAAACAATACTTCATACGATCTGCAGGGTTTTGAAATTGATTTAATATACTATCTGCATGATGGAGATGACTTCCTTTAAATGATGCCGAACTCATCTCTGTATTGATCTCCTTTTCACAATTTTGATTTTCTTCTTTTTCTTTTTTCTTTTCTTCTTCTTCTTTTTCTTTTAGTACTTGTTGTTGTTGTTTTTGTAAACGGGACATGTGTTCTACCAGTGCGGGGCTAATACTTCCATTCAAATGACAATGGAGATCTACTTTGGGTATATTCTCCAGCCGTAGTGACTGAGAGTGGCTGCGGTATCTTTTCCAGGCTTCTTCAAACTGCAATGCATAAGGAGAAGAGGAACTGAGATCATCACTATCTTTATTATTATTATTATTATTATTATTATTATTATTATTATTATTATTATTATCTTTATTAGTAGCAGTAGTAGTAGTATGAATATCTGTTGAAGACTGTACGTTTTCTTCTTGAGACATGAGAGATTTGTCAATAGAGATAGAGAGAATCGCTTCCTCTTAAACACGTATTTTTTTTCTTTTCTTTTCTTTTCTTTCCTTTCTATCTATCTATCTATCGATGTTTCTATTCGTTAAATCGTTATTATTTTTCTTTTTTTTCCCTTTTTCTCTTTTTTTCTTTGTTAACTACACAACAATGTATAGTTCCTCTCTCTCTCTCTCTACGTAAAGGGCCCTCCTCTCTTACCATCAAATCATTATGGTTGGGAAATATTAAACAAATAAACAAACAAACGAAGGAAAGAAAAGAAAGAAAGAAGCCAGAAAATATACATATATATGAATAGAAGTACAAGCAAACAAACATAGACACATATAAAGAGAAACAATAAACTATTCCATCACTCTAATAATATCTTACACCTAATCATTATCCATTCACACATAATACACAACGTAAAAAGGAGAAAAAAAAAGAACAGAAAAACGAACAACGAAAAAAAAAAAAAAAAAACTTCCTCTCCGAATCCAAAAAAAAATTTCTTTTCCCTTAATATGAATAGTAATAGTAGTAGTGGTAGTAATAATAATAATAACAAAGATCATTAATTTTTCATCATCATCACGCTGCGCAACACTTCATTCATTCCTTCATTTTCTGAGAGAACTACCACCAACGGCTATAATAAAGAAAAAAACAAAAAAACAAAAGCAAAAGAAAAAAGAGTCCGCAAACAACGAGTGAAATTGAAATAAAGAAATAATATAAGGATATCCAATCAAATTACAACAAAAGTAGGAAAAAATAAAGTGCGGTATAACACAAATCTTTTTATCCTCACTTGATTCGCCCATTGATAATAGTGCTGCTATTCTCCACCACCACCTCCTCCTCCTCATCCATGTATCCCTGACCTATATATATATATATATATATATACCATGGATAAAGCTTTTCTAAATTTCTCTCTTAATTCACTCGCTGCTATCGTCGTGTACTTGTTTTCATTCTTGTATTTGATTTGTGTTCCTTCTCTTATTATTTAGCTTCTCTCTATCTTCTTTTTTTTTCTTTTTCTTCTTTTTCCTTATTTATTACCATTTCTTACCACTTTACCCCTTCTATGTTTTAAATTTTTCTTTCTTTTCTTTCTTTTTCTTTTCTTCTGAGGGTAGCACTCCCCATCCCAGTCCATTATATTTCTCTTTTCAACGTCCTTCTTCCTTTTTTTTTCCTTTTTCTTTCCTTATGCACATTTCCAGTTGTCCAAATTCAGTTTAACGGCTCATTCACACAATCACCCACACATATATATATATATATATATATATATGGAATGTACTTATTTACTGGCCGCCACCACCAAGAATACGGAAGATCTGATTGGAGATGTACCACTGGCCGCCGTCCTGTGCGAGGTGGAAGACGTCAATGAACTTCAGTGTGTGCCGCTCGCCCTTCAGCAGCACTTCGCCGTTGACGACCACCAACACCCCGCCGCTCACGGAGGGATGGCAGTCAATATCCTCCGGCTTGAACTGCGCCTCGTCAAAGCCGAGAGTGGCAAAGCGGGCCATAATGGCCTCACCGCCCTGCAGCTGCTCGCCCACCCACGTCATGAGGGAATTCGGGCGGTACACACCAGCGAGTTGGGCACGGTTGGTGGAGAAGAATTGATAGTATTGGCGAACAAAGCCCGTACCTACTTCTTGAAAGGACATCTTTTTTTCTTTTTTCTTTTTTTTTTCTTCTGTTAATATGTTAGTGTTTTTCTTTCTTTTTTTTTTTTTGTTATCTTTTTACAGTTGGTTTTTTTTTTTTTTGTTTTTTTGTGGGTTTGCCTTTTTTTTCTCTACAGTGAGATTTAAGCGGACTCACGAGGACCACACAGAGATGGAAGAAAGGTAGATGTCATCAGATCAAGAAAAAAAAAGAAAGAAAAAAGAAAGAAATAGAGATAATATACCATAAGAAATAAAGAATCATAATAATAGTCCAGAATGGGAAGGAAAGTCTCCCCGTGTTGTTATCATCATCATCATCACTATAATAATAATAATAATGACGCTGAACTTTACTATTTCTTTACTGTTGAACGTAAATGCGTGTATGGGTTGCTGTTTTTTTCTTGTCACTTGTTTTTTTTTTTAATTTTTCGTGTCGACTAGTTTTTTTTTTTTTTAAAAAAAAGGGATATCCTATTTACTCGTAGCTTCTGTCCATATTCACCTATTCATCCAATCTATCTTCACATGACAGGATGAAGAGAGATATCAGTGTGATAGCTGCATCTACTCTCTCTTTTTCTCTCTCTTGTCTTCCTTCTCCATATAGTGTGAGGAGATTCATCCAAACAATCTTTCCCTCATTAATCGAATTCATGTATTCCTCTCTCTTTTTTTTTCTTCCACTTGTATGTCAATCATACAAACTCTTCTTCTTCTGCCAATATCTCCACAACTATCAAAACACTCTCCACCACCAGCAATAAATTGGTCACTCTTCACATATATATATATATATATTTATCTCACTTCTGACCAAACCTTTTCTTTGGGTCTTGGAATGCCTCAATGGAGAACCATCCTTTTGCCTCTGCCTCTGCAAAAGCATCTGGAAAGGCTGCCTTTTCCCAGCGAAGATAATTCACCACTTGTCTTTGCAATTGTCGTGGATTCAGTTGATAGGGATTAAGTTTGTGATCAAAGGACATGGCCTTAAAGTCTGTGCCGTACTTGTGAATGAGATTCGCCATGGTGCATCCCTCCGCCTCACTAACTGGTCGTCCAACGCCGGTCTCCTTCCGTAATGCCTGTTGTTCCTCCAATTGATTTTCCTCCTCCAACTTCTTTCGTGAGTTTGGCCGAACTTGTTTCTTGCGCAGTAACTGCACAGCCTTTGGGGCACTTGGGTCTGTGCTGAGTCCAAGCCGTGTGAAGTTCTGTGCGGCGGTTTGGGCCCCATCAAAGTACTTTTGTGTGAAGTGATTGTTCGCCCCGGCGACATCTACGCGGCGGACGTGTGCGAATCGGCGTTTGAGATATTGTTTGCGGCCCACGCGGGTGATGGGAATGTTCTTCTTGACTTTTCCCTTTGGAGTTACTCGCAGTCTACTCATTGTGTGTTTTTTTTTTTTCGTACCTTTCTGCTCCCTTTTTACGTTTCTCTTTGCTTCCTTTTATTTTATTTTTTATTTTTTATTTTTCAATATATATATATATATATATATATATATATAGAAATATAATTAGAAAGAGAAAAAGAAAATGGTTGTAAGAGTTTATATTGTAAAGGGGAACACAGAGATAGAGAGAGAGAGAGAGAGAATCTTTCTTTTTTATTTGTTTCTTGCATGAACTTCACTCTTAAACTATTTTGTGTTTATTTTTTTTTCCTTCGTTTAGTTGTTATATCGTCACCATTGAAGGTTTGGGAGAAGATGATGATGAAAAAATAAATAGTACAAAAAAAAAAAATAAAGAAAATAACTACTACACAAATACAGGCTTCCCTGTACGCATGTATGTATGTATGTATGAATATAATAATAATAATAATAATAATAATAATAATAATAATAATAATAATAATAATAATAATAATAATAATAATAATAATACGATAAATGGAGGTTTTTTTCTTCTTCAATGTACATGGAAATGATTACGCCGTACGTTTCATACCTCGCTGTTCATCCTGCCAGACTAATGTTGACTGTATTTGTTGACAAAGTAATTGTTGATCACTCTCTGTTAATATAGGCGTGGGTTGTGTGTGGGTTTCAAGAAACCAACGCGAGACCCGTTCCACTACATCTATGAAACGTACACGTGAAATTTGATTGGCATCATACAATGGTTGAATTTCATTCTTAATAAATTGAAGAACCATCTTTCGATATACTGCTCTAGGAGTGAGAGGTACTGGAAGTATAGATGTTGCAAGTGATGGACTAATAGAGAGATCCACAGAGTGAGAAGGAGATGTTATTTGATGATAACTACTTCCTCTTGCTGTTGTTGTTGTTGATGCTATGGTTCCAGATCGTATATTTCCTCTTCGTAATGTGGAAGTGGATGTTGTGAGTGAAGCTGAACGAAAGGGAAGTCGCCGCATTCCAACATCTCCATGTCTGTGGAAATCATTGTATTTCTGCAATAACTGCAGAATAGCTTTACATCGGCCTTTACAATGTAAAATGTGTGTAAGGGCCGCATAGAGACTTTTCGCATCCTTTACAAGTGCCGCTGCTGTTGGAAGTGGAGAGGGCAATGGGGGATGTAAGAGAGCCGTTAACGATATAGTTTGTATGGGTGTACAGAGAAGAGCCTCTTCCCGCAATTCCCATTCCGTTAATTGATAATTTAATAATTCTTGTCGTTTCTGTGCTGTCAAAAGTTCTTTTTCTCTTAAACTTCGGGTATTGGCAATATCCATACGAAGTCGCATACAAGCATCATGCGATTCAACAATACGATCTTGAATATACATGGCATTTCGTCCTTGTATAGATATGGTTGGATGTGTAGAAGAAGAAGAAGAGGAAGAAGAGGAAGAAGGAAGAGGCTTATATCGTGCCAATTCCTTTGCTAACGCTACAACTTGTTCAAACTTTCCCATTTCTTCTTCTTTTGCAAAGTCTTTCATTATAGTTTGTTTGGGTGTATTCGTTTGCAATGTATGTAATTCCTTCTGTTGCCATTGTACTTGGGCGGTGAGACGTGCGTGCAGTAAATCCTCCACGGCTAATTGTGCAATAGCCACTAACATTCGAGTTTTAAGAAATTTTACATTTGACATTTCATTATTTATTCGATAGGATAACATTCGTTCTTGCAAATTATTTAATTCTCGCACTACCGCCATTTGTGCCTGTCGTATATAAACAACAGTTTCTTTAGTTTTCTGTACAGCTCGTGTTAACACGGTGGTGATTTCATCCTTTTCTGTTAACACTGCAGTGAGTTCCGCCTCATCATTCGCCATTGCCGTATCTATTCTATTCTTCTCTGCTGTTAACATCTGCAAACGTCTTCTTGCCTCTTCACATGCGAACATTAATCGCTGCTCTTCTCTTATGGCTTCTGTTAACTGCATTTCTATTCGCAGTGTCTCTGCTGCCCACGATGCTCCTTTTCCTCCTTTTCCTTCTCTATCCATGATTTGCACTTCCTCCAAGTCTAATTGCTTTAACGAGATATTCTGCAAGAGACGTGTTTTGGCTGTTTGCAGTGATTCCACTTCCTTCTGCAGTTCCAACACCCGTTCATCACTTTCCACACGTGCAGATTCTAATTGCTGTTGTAATTCTTTTTCCAACACACGATTCTGCTGGACTCGTCCACGTAAACGTTGGAGTTCTGTCCATTTACACACTTCCTCACATCTTGAATACCGCACAGGGACTACATACCGAAGTGAGGCAACATCTCCCACATCTTTCTTCAATTGTGAAAAGGCCAAATGTACACGATGGAGACGATCCGCCTGCTGCAGTTCTGCACGTGCGGTGCGTTGTTGTTCTTGTTCCTTTCGTTTTTTCTCTACTGCCCGCCGTACCGCCCACTCCACACTCGTCAGTAATCCACGATGATAAACCATTTCTTTTTCTTCTTTTTCTTTTTCTTTTCGCTTCTGTTGCTGTAGTGCCTGCAGGTGTGGATTAATAAACTGCGCGACTGCGGCCCGCACTTCCCGCCGGGCCTCTTCCGTCGAAAAGGAGGCCAATCGCTGCAGGGCCGCAAACACAAATCCCTCATCTCGCGGGGATGTGAACCACAACTCCAACGCGAGAGCCGCATCCGCCCGGCACGCATCCCGCAGTCGAAGTCGCATCACATCTTCCAAGTCTGAACTCAACACAGTTGTGGAAGAACCACGGATAGTATTATTATGATTATGATTATGATTATTATTATTATTATTATTATTATTATTATTATTATTATTATTATGAGAATGATGAGGATATAATCCAGTTTCGGTTCTTTCGGTTTGTTTACGATGATTGGATTTTCGAGTGGGATCTCTGGAAGAAGAAGAAAAAGAAGAGGGGTTTCCGACACTATACTTTGGTCCAACCTCATACTCGTGTTGTTGTAGAGGCAAATTGGGTGAAGGAAAGACCCGACCAAATCGCTTTTCTCGTTCTTTTCGTCGAAGTTCACTAAAGGAGGTGGAAAGTATATCATGCATATGAACATCGAGTAGTTTCTCTATAAGCCGCACTTTATGATGGAGTAATTCCATTTGGAGATCTGTGAGTTTTAATGTTATTTGTTCATCTTTACTTATACCCTTGTTGGTACTCTTCTTCACACGGGAGTTTGATCGGGTTGATGGGGTTAACGTTGATGGATGTCCCACTCGCCCCCTTACAGATGAGGACATGGATATATATATATTCTCCCTTTCTCTCTCTCTATCTCTATCTAACTATATACATATATATATATATAACACAAATCCATATAGAAGAAGATTAAAAAGAAGAAAGAGAAACTATTCACAACATTGCATCAATATAAGATTTAAATAGAAAGATAATGAGAGCAATAAAACAAGGTGTGTGCAAGCACAAAGAGGAAGAATAATCACAACAACAACCACAAGAGTCAATTGCTACAATAAAGAAAAGTATCACAACTCCCATAGAGAAGTAATGGAATATAAAATTTTAAAAAAAGAAAAGGAAACAAAAAAAAAAGGAAAAGAAAAAAGGAAGATTGAACAAAGCACACGGCGAATAGAAATCCAGAGCATCATTATCTATTCGTCATCATAGTAATACAGAGAGAAAGATAGAAATAGAAATAGATTAAAAAAAAGACCTACAAAACAGAAAAGCACTGAAAAGAGAGAAAATAAATATTATATATATATATATATATATATATATATATATATATATATATGGTTTATCTAACATGACCACCTCTTTATCTCTTTCTCTCTCTCTCTCTCACACACACACACTTACACACTTACACATACAGAGATTATCTTCATAAGAGTACACCAATAGGAAAGGAAAACAACCAACAAAAAAAAAAAAAGAAAAAAAAAGAAAAAAAAAAAGGTTTTTAATTCAGAGATCTCACAAAATGCATTACACTCGAAATGTGTACGCTAACAGCTATGTGTACATGGATAATGTACATACACATTCATTATCACTGTATTATCGAAATAAAAACATCGGTTATTTCACGAATACTAATTTATAATACCACTACTATTACTATTATTAATAATATAGATACTAATATTAATAATAATAATAATAATAATAATAATAATAATAATAATAATAATACTGCTTCTGCGGGAAGAAAAATAATAGCGTAGGAAATTAGAAATAACGCAAAATACCCCGTAAAGAAAAGAGCGTATACCATAATGGAGAATGAAAAGCAGATATATATATATATATATATACAAAGCATAAAAAGCATTTCAATAAAATGGGAAGAAAGTAAGCAGAAAAACAAATACATATAAATAAATATATAAATATATATATAAAGAAACCTAAACTCATAAGCAAATAATAATAATAATAATAATAATAATAATAATACAGCATGACTCTCTCAGTCCCAGAGTATCTGAAGACTGAAGGAAAGAAGAAAAGTTCAGAACAAAAACAAACTCCCTCTTGTCAAGTACCCATTCAGCTATCCACGCCCCTGTTCGTTCGTTATTGTCTTTATTAATTTATCCCTACAAGTAATAATATATAAAGTACTAATTTTCTCTGTTTTTTTTTTTTTTTATTATTATTTCTTAACCAATAACCGGGGTTTTCCCCTTCTTATCTTATTTGCGTTTTTATTATTTTTATTATTTTCTTTCATTTATTTTCTTTTCCCCTTCATTTATTTTATTTTTATTTTCTTTTCTTTTCCCTCCAAAGTTCTTTTTACTGGGTGTGGCATACTAAATAACCGCTTCTTCTCTCTCTCTCTCTCTCTCCCTATCCCACCAATATATATATATATACATATATATATATATACCGTGTTTGTAGTTAAATCACTTAGATGAAGTAGAATAAAGTGCAGTACATCGCAAGAACTACCCACCACAATAACCGTCAGAAGCAAAAGTACAGGAAGAAAATAAGGAAAATTAAAACAAAAAAAAAAAAAAGAAAAGGCAGAAATAATAATAAAAGAAGAAAAAGCACTGTTTCTATATATATATATCCACAGCAATAAGATGAGTTATTTCACTTTTTCTGTTCTTTTTCTCACTCTAATAAAAATAAACAAACGAAAAAGGAAGAAGAAGAAGAAAAAACAATTCTAATAATATAATTATTAGGAAGGTACAGTACATAAAAAAAAAAAAAGAAAAGAAAAAAGAGAACCTATAATAACGTCAACATCGCCAATACAGTGTAGCAGGAGTGATAGTATTAATAACCATAATCAATAATAATAATAATAATAATAATAATAATAATTACTACAATAATAGTAATCGCATACACGGTGAATGATGGAGAAGACACACATCTGAAATACAATCCGATACAAAAGAAAAAGAAAAGAGACAACGAAGGCGAACTTTTCAAAATACGAAAAAAAAGGAATAAAGGGAAAAAAAGGGAAAAGAAAAGAGAAGATTTCATCCAAGAATAATAGTAACAAGGAGCCAAACAAAAAAAAAAGCCCCAGAAAAAAAAAAAAGTTGGGGTTTGAGAAGCCCTTGAGGAAACTGTTTTCTATTTTTTTTTCTCTTCCTTTTTTTTTACTTATTGTCTGCTGTATCCATTAGTTACGTAAAGAAACATTCCCACTCATCTATTCTTTCCTTTATGGATAGCAAGACCTATATATATATATATATATAGAAAACACTTTTCACATCCTATATTAGTCTCAGAGATTGTCTTCTTCTTTTCTATTTTTCTTTTTTATTCATGTAAGCATCATTGGGAGTGAAGAGTACATACATAATATATTTTATACATGCATATATGTCGTATGAAGAGAAATAAAAACGTTTGTGGGCAGATTTGTATGCATGTTAAAGTGATACTGTTCAAGGGACCAATCGAAGGGAAAAGGAAAAATAAAATAAACAATAATAATAATAATAATAATAATAATAATAATAGTGAGGAAAAAAAAAACAATGGCGCATCGAATGAGGAAATCCATGTGAATAACAAAAAGGAAGATGATGAAGAACAACAACAGCAACAGGTGGGGCAACTTTGTGTTGTAGCTCAGTTAACAGCATTACACGATTGACACTAATATATATATATATATATATATATAAATAGAGGTATAAATATAGATATAAACGCTCGAGAGAGAGAGAGAGAGAGAGAGACAGAAAAAGACAACAATAAGGAGACTCTATTTGCAAATTTTCTTTTTTTTCTTAATTAACATTCATGCTGCCGCTGGTGTTGCTGCTGCTGCCGTCGCCGAGTTGTCTCCGCCGCTGGCACCCACGATCCCCGTGAACTGCGTACATTTGTGCTCGGTGTGGGTGTTGTGCTCGGCGTGGATGTTACGGTGCCAACACTGCCCTTATTCAAAGCTGTGCGGCTGCGGACGTGTGTTCGTCCACGGGTGCGATTGGCATCTGCGGCCGCTGCGGCTGCGGCCTCTGCGAGTTGAGATTCCTTCAATTGGGCCTGACGACGTTTGACGACTGGAAATAAATCAGATATCGCCGCCCCCACGAGAGAATCGGCAAAAGACGGCAATTGTGTGGTGATGGTTGGGGCTCTTGTGTTGTTATTGTTGATATTTATTGTTCCTCCTGCTGCTGCTGCTGCTGCGGTGCCGGTGTTATCTTTTCTTCTCTCTAAAGCCGCTACTCGGCGTTCAATGATGTTGTGAAATCGAGTTGCCGCACTTTCGTGTTGGGGATGATGATTGTGGCGCTGACGATAATGGTGTGGTTTTGGATATCCATCATATTCATACTCTACATCATTTCCTTGAGGAGAAGAATGATGATAATTCTTTTTCCCATACCGTTTGGTCTGCTGCTGCTGCTGTTGTTGTTGTTCTTTATATCCTCTTACGAGATCGGATTCCTCTATTAATCTATACTCTTCCTCTGGTGCTAATCCTAATCCATCATCCGCGTCTAATTCTCTCCATACTTGTCCAGGCATAGTGTATCGAAATTCATTCAACATGTGTCGTGCCGCTGTTGCTGAATTTGTTGTTGTTGTTGTTGTTCCCATTTGTGCGGCTGCGGCTGCTGTTGTTCCTGTTGTTGTTTTCTTTCTTCTACTTCCGGTGGCTCCACTGCGCATAGAAGGATTCTCTGTTCGCCGTGCACTTGTGGCAATCTCTGGTGTTGTACTGTCCACTGCTTTCCCACGATGACGTGATCTATTACGAAGATAATACTGTTGCTGCAACTGTTGTTGTTGTTGTTGCTGTTGTAATAGTCGTAACTGTTCCTCATCCTCTTCTTCCTCATCTTCTCCTTCTTCTCCTTGTAGTAATAGAGTGTGTTGGTTTGTTTTCATCATTCCCTTTTGTGATTGTTTATTGGATGGAAAGGACAAATGGGCATACTTATTCATTCTAACATTCCCTACATCTACCTGTTCATTAGGGTTTTCAGGTCTTAACGGGTACGACTCCTGTTGTCCATTCATCATCGTCCTCATCATTCCACGGCTTGAAGAGAGATCTAACGGTGATCTATCGTCTTGCAGAAATGAAACCTCTTGATAACGATGTGAAGAAGCCGCAACCGCAACCGCATCTGCAGCTGCTGAATTGTAATTCCCACCTCCATTATCATTTACTTCTATAGAGTTTTTACTACCATTTGGACTCATTTTATTTTGCCTAACAAATGGCGGTACAGGTGTTCCTGTTGCTCGCCAAACGGCAGGATGATTTAAACCTTCATCTAAACAAGAAGAAGAAGGAACAGCATTCCACTGCAGTCGTCCATTTCCATTATTACATGATGTTGAGGCCATATGAATAACTGGAATTCCATGCCGTAGGAGTTGTTGTTGCCGCATTAATTCTAATTCCTGTTGTCGACGTTGTAATTGCATCTCAAAGGATCGATTTAAATGATCCTCCGTGAGTGCATCTGCAAAGAGATCCACAGAACTTGAAATGCGTTCAAATGGCTGCTGTTCATGAGAGTCTCCTCCCGCATCTGCTGTTGTTCCATTCTCACCGGTTGTATTTTCTCCTTCAGGACTCATTTGTTTGGGCATTTGAAAAGACGGCGTCGGTGTGTTTGCTTCTGTGGAGTGATCCCCACGAACACTAGAAACAGGCAGTGAAGTGATGGACTGCACAACACGATCACATCCCACCGCAGGGCTTGGCATTACTTCATTGCTCTTCTCTCTATTCATATTGATATCCACCACAATATCCACAATAGCTGCTGCTGCTGCTGCTGTAGAAACACCATCCGTAATATCAGTTGGACGAGTAGGAGGAGGAGAGGAAGAATATGGATGAAGAGAAGGAGAAAGTGGAATACCATTTTTACTAGTTGTACTAGTTTTTTTCTTTGCTGTAGCTGTAGCTGTAGCCGTTTTCTTGGCTTTTGCACTAGTCGTCCTAATAGGTTTCTGCGTTTTGATAGATCCATTCGTTGGACCCATTGTTGTTGTTGTTGTTGTTCTCGTCTTTGCTGTTGTTGCTGTTGTTGTTGTTGCTATCGATTCATCAACCTTCTTCACTATTTGCGGTGTGTCTTCTATATCCCCGACCAATTGTCTATATCCCTTCAGAAGATCTTTTATTTCCTCTTCCACCATCTGCAGTTCCCCAGGAGCATAAGCTGTGATAAAAGAAGAAGAAGAAGAAGCTGAAGAAGATAAAGAGGATGATAAAGAGGATTGATGATTACTACGACCCGCAGGGAATAAAACGACGGGTTTTGTGTTTGGTTGATGATGTTGTGGGAGACTTCCCTCCACATTTGTACTAACTTCTACGGGTTTACTATCCTTGTGTTGATCCCTCACATCTGTTCCTTCTACAATAGGATCGTTTTCCTGCATGTTGTTCTACTTTTTTTTTTTCTTGTTTTCTTCTTTTTGTTTTGTTTGTCTGTTCACAGTTCCTCTTTTTTTTTTTCTTTTGTTTATTTTTATTTTTATTTTTTTTTTTACCGTGAAGACTTCCTTTTTCGTTTTTCCCCCTTTTTGTTTTTGCGTATTTGGGTGGAAGTGAGAGGAGGTACAGAATTATTGCCTTGTTTTTTTCTTCTTTCTTTTCTCTTTGTTGGTAGAGGAAGAGAGAGTTAAGAGGGTTAATTTCAACACTTTCTCTTGTTTCACTCAACGTGTAATGTATTCCTTTGTGTATAGAGGAATAATAAAATATTCTCCCTCTCTCTCTTTCTCTTTCTTTTTCTCTATCCTTGTGTGTGTTTACTTATATATATATATATATATATATATATAAGTAAGTATGGGTTTGTATGTATGTACTCTCTCTCTCTCTCTTTCTATTTGTATTCCCTGTTGCCACTGCTGACCTCCCCCCTTTAGTTCCTATTCTTCTACGGGATTTCTCTTCCAGCGGAACTGCGTAGAAAAAGAAAAAAAAAAAAAAAGAAAAAAGGGGAAAATCATAGAAATAAGAATAACTCTGAAAATAACATCACAACAGATTATGAGAAGTCATTCTTCTTCTGATAAAGTGTAAACATCCATATATATGTATATATATATCAAAAGCGAAATGGGTGTAAAACACGCCATCTTATCGTACATCTCTGATGGAGAGGGAAGAAATCCATTTTTCTTTTTTCTTTATCATCTTCATCATTGTTGCTCCAATTTCCATCCTCAGTTCAGCGGTATTCCATCACACATATAGAAAGAGGGAATAGAAATAAAAAAACAAAAAACAAAAAAAACACGAAAGAATGATCCAAACATGCGGTAGTAGTAGTAAATGAGCATATAAATATATATATATATATATATATACCCCTGCAGACCGCATACGTACATATACATCTCGTTTTTTTTTTGTGTTTATACGTATACACACAGACGTCTGTACTCTGCAACGGGAATTCAAAGAAAACAAAAAAAACAAAAAAAAAGTAAAAAAAAAAAAAAAAAAAGAAACTGAATCCAATAAACAAAAAGATGAAAAACAGCAAGAAGAACCACAACACCAACACGGACTAATGAAAACAAAGGCACACACACACATACACAGAGAGATCAACATATATATATATATATACTCAGAACAAAAAAAAAAAAAAATCAAAGAAAAGAAAAACTACAACTACAACTACAATATCATTATCTCTACATTTAGGGATCATCTCTGTATGTAGATACATTACATTCATCCTCATTCTCATCATTATTATTACTATCATTATGAATAGAGTTGTGTAGAACACGTGTAACGGTTGCCTTCTTTGCGGCTTCTGCTAATGCGGTGGCTGCGGCCAATGCATCCCCAACGCCCATCTTACTATAATACTCCAACAACTCCCGTTCCTGCGATTCCATCACTTTAATACGACGACGATCGACTTCATTTTGTAAAAGTGCCGCCCGCCATTCATCCAAAAAACACTGCAGCATCACTTCTTCCATTTCTTCTCGTTTGCGTTGTTGTTTCTGGACTAAAAAGCGACGATGACGAAACTCCTTACGGGCTAACGCACCTCGCATAAGCGCCTGAATGCGTATCACACACCGGAGAACGAGCGCCCGTTGTTGTTGTTGCTGTTCCGCGGCCTCTCGCTCTAATCGACGTTTACGCATGCGGCGGAATGCCTTTTGAATAATCGTGGCACTCTTATCCCGCAGCAACTCCCAACGTACACGGCGCCGCAGATATAATTTCTCTGTTAACCGGCGGCATCTTCGTGTTTCCACCACAAATCCACTCGCCCGTGCCTGCAGGAATGCCGCCAACACATCCGCCACTCGTCTCCGTTGGGCCTCGGCGATGGATTGCAACAACAACTCCGTTCGCCGCCGCATGTGAAGCGCAGCGCCGAGTTGTTGACGGGCCGTTCCACCACGACAGGCACTTTGAATGGCAATAGCCGCAAAGAAGAAACCACGGCCAATAGCCGCACGGCGGTGACGGGCCGTTCGCTTCGCTAACACCATACGAGCAAAACATTGTAGAGTTAAGGTGGCTCGATATTCATAACACTCACGGTCTATTCGCTCCTGCTGCACAGCCTGCTGCATACGGCGTAAATAACGAATTTCACGACCCGCACAGAAGCGACGATATCCACGTTGGATTGTTAACACCGCCCGCACAATACGACGACAACGTGTAATGACATTTCGCATCATTTGCCGTTGGAGTGCTGTACGCCAGTTCATTTGAATAATTGCCGCGGCTTCACTACGACGTTGTTCCTCTTGTTGTGCCTCCAACGCCAAACGTTCACAGCGTCTTGTGTACTCCTGCAAACACAATCGCACAAGATCTGTACACTCCCGTAGTTGTTGTTGACGTTGGCGGTGTTCCTCTACACGTCGTTGTCGATATTGCAGCGCCTCACGTCGGCCTAACATTCCTCTAAAGTGACGCTGCAATTGTACAGCCGCGAACTGCCGTCGTCGCTCCAATTCCTCTTCTTCTCGTTGTTGTTGGACTTCTATTGTACGGCGCTGCCAATAGGCCCGTTGGGCGGGAACAATTCGCCACCAGCGAGCTATAATGGTAGCCGCCGCCTCCCGCACACGTAATTCCTCCACATTACGCAGAGAAAGAAGTTTGCATAAATCACGCTCACGACGTCGACGCCGCAAAAAGATCTTTCCATAGTGTGAAATGATAAGAACACTACGCAACACTTTCTCTTCATACACTTCACGTGCTGCCACTTGCGCCGCACAACGTTCTTGTGCTTGCATGAGTCGTCGCTTTTCTAATATAATGCAGAAGAATCCTTCAATACACATGGCTGCTGCCTTCTGTATACGATACACCTCACGGTATAAAATTTGCTGTCGTCGATGAAGTTCCTTCCGTGCACGATTACACCGCCAGGCGCATTGAATTCGTAGTGCTGCCTTCATTCGCCGTTTATACATAATTTCATAGTAAGTGAGAAGTTCCGTTTCACAACGCTCTTTGGCCTCATTTACGGTCTCTGGTTCATCATCTTCGTCATCATCACTTTCATCCTCGTCCTTATTTTTCAATTTGTGGTCTTCATCTTCGCTTTCGCTTTCACTTTCATCCTCATCACTCTCATCCTCATCACTTTCATCCTCGTCCTCGTCTTCTTCTTCTTCATCATCTTTCTCAGAGTCTTTTTTATCTTTTTCTCCCTTCTTCATTTTTGCTATAAGTCCCTCAACTTTCTTGGCTAAGCTCATTCCTATTCCATTGGTATTACTACTCTTGTCAGTACTCGTGTTTATTTCGCTATCAGTGGATGTTGCTCGCAAGATGGATCCATGCTTTACTGAATCCGTTAATGCACTACCGTCTAAAGAATAAGAAGTGGAAATAACACTGCCCTCTTCCTCAGTCGCCTTTATTTTCTTCTTTCGTTTCCGGCGTTTCTTATCCTCATCCGTGCCTTCTTCTCCTTCTCCTTCTCCTTCTTCACCATGCTCTCCTTCCGCCTTCTTCCCTCGCTGTTTCTTCTTCTTCTTTGTGCTACGATCAGGAAAGACAAATCCATCGCCAACTTTTCCCTCTCTAGTATCCTCATCCTCATCCTCATCTTCTTCCATATCTCTTTCTCCGTCTACATAGCCACCATGAATCTTATATTGGTACCTTTTATCATTGCTCCTTTTCTTCTTCTTTTTACTGCGTTCCTTCTTTTTTGGAGCAAGTGGAGCATCTTCCACTATACTCCAACTTTCTGGGAGAAAAGACCGTTCTCGGCGTTTACGTCTCCTCATTTTTTTCTCTTCTTCTTTGCGTTTTTTCTCCGCCTCTGCCTCTTTATGTTGTTGAATGAAGAGTGTATCCAAAACAGCGATCCCACCAAGTCGTAATGCATCGCTTGGCCGACGTAAACGATGACAGTTTAGAATATCCTGTCCAGGTTGCATAGATGTTTGTTTTTGATTCTTTTTCTTCGTTGGGCTCCATAGTAAAGCACTACTTTTCCTCCCTTTTACATTTTTATTTACAGGAAATGGAACTGTCTTCATGGAGGGTGGAACAAAAACAGACGGGTGGGCCCGATGACTGGTTTGTTCTGATCGTAGACTTGCAAGTCGATCACGTAAGGAATGCATGAAAGCAGATGAGACCGTATCTGTTCTTGAGGCATTTTGCAAAGATTCAGTTGATGGAACATCATATATACCAATAGGAATAGAGAAATTAAGAACTTGTGAAGGTCTCCTTCCAGAGGAACGTAGTGGAGGAAGTGATGGTAAAGCAGTTGTTGGCTGAACAAGTTGTAGCATCGGATAAAAGTTGGAACCCGATGATGCCCGTCTTGCTGCTGCTAATACTGCATTTCCTCCTCCTCCTCCTCCTTCTATTCCTGTAGCTGTGGATGTTGCGGTAGTTGAGGATGTTTTTTTGGATATTGCTGTTTGTGTAGATGGATGGACTCCACGCTGGAGTTCTTGCAGGAGTGGATGTCCAGGCTCTAAGCATTGACGTCCTAGTTGAAGTGCCTGATCAAATGCCATTTGTTTTTCTACTTCCATGGCTTTACGATCTTCTACCCTGAGATCTACCGTGATGAGTTGTTCCAATTGACAGCCGAGATTATAAGAGGCAACTGCCAAAAGTTTTTGGGCTTCTTTAACCATTGGATTATCATTCTCAGATACAGATAATAATTTCGTTCTACTTGGGGTAATAGAAGTGAGGAGTTGTACAGCCGCACGAGCATTCATAAGAGCCATTTCATGTTGTCCAATAAGACCATATAAAACTCCAAGTTGCATTTCACTTCTTGCAAACTGTAAGATATTACATTCATTCTCAATAGCAGTTAATCTATTTGCTGTATTATCTACAGTGGATAACGCCTGTAAGGGTTTCTTTTCTCTAAACTGTTGGGTAATAGTAGCCACCCGACGTTCCAGTACATACGCACTTTTCGCATACTCTATTGCTGCAGTATTATCTTCTAGTGAAGAGTCTGGGAAAACTCTTCCACGATATGCATGAAGTTCCCGCAGCAATACATAAGAATCATGAACAAGCATTAACATTTCCGCAACGAGGAGTGGTGGTTGTAAACAAGGAATAATACTATTTTGTTTTCGTGATTCACGAATACTACTACCCATGATATCCTCATCCACACAATAGGAACAAACCTCATCTCCTATTGCCTCTGCACGATGTAATAACTGCAGAATCTGTTCAAAGGCCTCTTTATTCCATTCTTTCCGTCGTTGATCTTCTCCGTGTGGATCCACGCCATAAATGGTGGAATGACCCTTCACATCAATTAAACCCCGCACCTCCTCCTTTACAATCTCCTGCAGTTCCTGCAATGCCTGAGAAAAGACATGCAGAGTGTCCTCCGGCCGTTCATTGCGTGGGACTGTTCGCAGCGCATCAAAGCGTCTTTGAAGAGCAGTCCTCTCAGCTGACCTCACAACTGACTTCATTCAGCAGAAAGAGAGAGAAATAAAATAAAAATAAGAATTTAAATAACTTTATTCACTGCTCTAATATATTTATTGTCCTCCTACGACACCTGTTTCTTGATAACCAGTGAGGCAATTCTTTTTTTTTTTTTTCTTCGTTTCTACTTTAACGCACTATATATATATATATAGCGAAAAGAGAGAGAGAAAAAAAGAGGAAACCCGCAAAGAAAAAAAAAAAGAACAGAGAGACAGAGAGGATCTGTATTTCTTCTCTCTCTCTCTCTTTTCTTTTTTCTGTTTGTATACCTGTGTGTGTGTGTGTTTAGGTGCTATTCTATGACACACAGTACTCAGATTCCTTTGTTTCCTTCCCTTTATTTTGTGTGTAGAAGAAAGAAAGAATGAAAAGAAAAAAAAAGTAGAGAATAAAGGATAAATGAATACCAGAGATGAAAAGATACAGTTTGTCTTTATCCAATACAAACATAAAACATTCTATATATATATATATATATATATATATATATATGGAGAGAGAACATTCTTTTGTTTTTAATCTCATAATACTCATAGCACGCAATGACTCACTCCCAACTTTTTATCCTCTCTTAAAA